GCTAGGATTACAGGCGTGAGCCACCGCGCCTGGCCCCAGACCAGGCATTCTTAACCAGAAGCAGCACTGTCTTCTGGTTAAGGGGTATGTGGAAATTTCTGGGGGCTTCGTGATTGTCACCATGTCTTACAATGGGAGCACCACTGGTGTTTATTAGGTCGGGGGCAGGGGAGGGTCAGGGATGATAAATGTCCTACAATGTGCGAGAGGGCCCTGCACGACAAAGAAATGTCCTGCCTAAGCACTCAGTGTTCCCGGTGAGGAGCATTCCCGGTCTAGTCACTCTGGTTCAAGGGGTGCTGACTGCCCCTCCCCACCAAGGGTGAGCACATGACTCAGTTCTGGCCAATGAGAGCACTCTACCTTCCTGGACACTGTGATTGGGTCAAGGATGGGCATATGACCAGGTCTGACCAATCAGAGTATTCCACCCCTCTGGCCACAGGCATTGGTTTAGGAATAGGCATGTGACCGAGTCCCAGCCAATCAGACTCAGTCCTGGGACTTTGTTGGAGCTACTGGGAAGGCTCTTGTTTCTATGGGGGTCTCTAAACTGGCAGATTGTCAAACCAAAGCAGTGCTTGGCAAACTACAGTGTTGCCTGCATTTGTAAAAAAAGTTTTATCAGAACACAGCCACATCTATTGTTTCCAATTAAATGTGGCTGCTTTTGTGCTATGATGGCAGGACAGAACAGGTGTGACAGAGACTGCCTGGCTCTCAAAGCCTAAAATACTGACTAGCTGGGCCTGTACAGATAACGTTAGCCACCTGCCGACCCGGAGATGCTGGCAACCGTTCTGCCATTATTGGAATGAGAGGTGAGAGGAGGTGGGGTGCTGGCAGGCAGAGGAGTTGGGTTGTACATGGGGGGAGGCTGAAGTTAAAGGTCAAGGGAAGGTGCTCAGGGATGGGCAGAAATGAGAGGAATCAATGCAGGAGTAAGAGGCGCTGGCAGAGGAGGCAGGGGCCATGGGGACACTCCAGGCCCATATAAGGCACTGAGGGTAGTGTGGGGAGGTCAGAGGTCAACAGACGGGACCAGTGCGGCAGTCAGAGGTAGGCCCACGCACTCACCTTGTGACCTCAGGTCCCCCGATTCTCTCAGGTTCGTCTGCGACCCTGGTGGAGGGGAGGAAGACAGAGTGTCTAACCTGGACATGGGGAGCCCTCCTCCCCCAACCCACTGCCTCTGGGACTCCCAGCAGCCACTGCCCCAGTCTCATTCTCTCCCACTGGCTGGAGCTGGGCTGGGGAGGGCCGGGAATCAGGATTTGACCCCCCTGTCCATCCCCAGAGGTGCTTGTTTTGAAATGGTTAGTGAGGTTATAGGACAGATACTGAGGAATGTGGAAGATGAAAGAGAGAGGAGAGTGGGCAGACAGAGGGACAGACACACACACTCAGATACACATTGCGCCTTTGCTCTAATGACACCTCCTTCGTCGGACCTGCCCCATGGAAAGCTTCATCCCTCCCATCCCCACAGTCCTGACCCCACCCCTTCTCTATTTTCCTTCCTAGTACTTGTTGCTACCTGACAGTCTATACATTAGTGTCTGGGTCCCCTAGTAGCATGCCAGCTTTGCCAGGGCAAAGGATTTTATACATTTTGTTTACTCTCTACTCCAGGGCTTAGGGTGGTGCCAGGCACATAGTAATAACACCATGAATAATACTAGTAATTAATAAAAATAGAGAATTATTTATAAAACATTTGTAAAGCATTTTCCAAGGCAACATTCTAAGCTCGGTCCATATAGCACCTCATTTAGCCCTCATGATAACCCTAGGAGGATGGTACTGTTATCCCCATTTCACAGAAAAGGAAAGTGAGGCCCAGAGAAGTTGAGTGACTTGTTCGAGGTCACTCAGCGAGGCTGGGATCTTGAGAGGCCGTGGCTCTGTGAGTAAATGAACAATCAGACCCCACATCCAGACCCCATACCCGGCTCACATCCACAGAGCCCCCCCCCCAATGCCCGTGCACACAGGTCAGACATGCAGTCAGGGAGGCAGGGCCACAGAGAACAGAGAGTGGACGGGACTTACTGATCTTGGATCCCTGGGGCAGAGAGGCGCCCGAAACACAGCGGTTAGAGTTCTGCCGTTTAGAGGGATCGAGGGTAACCCTGCAGCATGAGGAGCAGGGTGAGGGGTGCAGGGGAGGAGAAGGAAGAGGAGGAGGAAGAAATATCAGGGCGCAGGAGGCAGAGCAGAGAGAAGACAGGTTAGGCCCCACCAGCCCTCATCCTGCCCCACCCCTGCCATCCCATGGAGCTCACCTTCGGGTCAATTTGGAGGTCAGCTTGGTGAAGAGGTTGGTGGTGGGGCGGGGCCGCCCAGCGGGCAGGGGTGCGGCCTCGTGGGCCAGTGTGGGAGAGGCAGGGGGCCCATTCTGCACACCCCCGCCACCCCCGCCCCCTGCCCGCCGGTCCCGGACCTGGCCACCATGGAAGGTGCTGCGGATGGTGGAGCCTCGTGCCAGACGGCTCCGCTCCCCTGATGGGGGAGCCAGGCTGTGACTGGAGGGGGAAGCGGGGGGCACCCGTGAGGTGCCTGAGCTGTGGGCAGAAAGGCACAAGTCAAGGTGGGGCCCCAGGACAGGCCAGGGCCCCAGTCTCTTTGATTCTTCACTGTCCTGTCCTGATACCAGAAACCCTAACTAGCCCAGAGCTCAGAGACAGGGCTGCCACATACGGTTGTGCAGGTTGTATACTATACAATCCTAGCATTGTTTTACCTGACTCTCCTCTCTCTTAAGTTACTACTCCTTCAAACTCTTCCTTTTTCAAACTCTATTCTCACCAAACTGTCCCCTATCCCAACTGTTCTTTCTACAAACTCAGCAACTGGATAGATTCACATAAATTTTTGGATGCCTCCCTTGCTATCTGCCATCCAAACCTCAGGAACCAAATTAACTCTGCAAACACTCTCCTAGCTGAACTCCTGTCACCCAGACTTGGGAAGGGAATATTAATAGATGCAACCGTCAAGGATAACCACATTCATTATGACAATTTTTTGACAGGTGAAAATAAAGAGGAAGGGACCCTCTCTCTTACTCTTTCAAACTGCTGTGTGGGTCCCACTATCCCAGGACCCTCCTCCAGCCCCTCTGACCCTTCTAGTCCTGACAGAAGGGGCCAGACCTCCAATTTTTATCCCTCCAAGGACCCCTGATCCAGCCTGGATCTCAGAGAGGAAACCCTGTGGCAGAGGCCATCTTCCTCTTTCTCTCTTGGTAACCAAACCCCTGATTTGAGTAATGCACACGGCCACCCAGGCAGGGACTACATTTCCCAGGCTCCCTTGCAGCTAGGAATAGTTATATGATCTTGCTCCAGCCAATGGGATGTAAGCAGAGTGTTCTGTACCATTTCTGGGTCAGGCCTTTAAAAAGAACACTGCTTGCCCTCTACTCTCTTCCCCTACTTCTCCGCGGTTGGGAAATCTTGGGAAATCACCGCAGCTGGTGCAGTGGCCTCAGCCTCAAAGCTGGAGCTTCACACTGAGACTTGCAGAATCGACCCAGGTCTGGAGGGTCACATCACAGAGGACTAAACCTCCATCTCAGCGAGGCTGCTATAACTTGGGATCTCTGAGTCTATAATCTGACTGATCCACTGCCTTGACCAGAACTGGAAGGTCATGTATTATTAAGCGGTTACAAGTTCAGATTCTGGAGTCAGTCTGGAATCTTTATGCCTTATCAGCTGTGTGGCTTTGGACAAGTTACTTAACCTCTCTGTGCCTCATTTCCTCAAGCTGTAAAACAGAGATATATCAGGATCTATCTCTCAGATCTGTTAGGGGCATTAGCCAGCTAATATACCTAGAGGCCTGGCATAGGCTGCTGCTTGATTAATGTTCATTGTTATTATTTTTATTTAATAACCCCACCCCCCAAGCTCTTAGTCATTGAATGCCTACTATGTATCAGACCCAGTGCCAGGTACAGGGCACATGTGGTCTTTCCTGGTGCCCTCTAATGGGGCCTGGAGGCGGACAGCATCAGCCCCATTTTATAGAAGAGGAAATAGAGGCTCAGAGATTTGCCCAAAGCCTTCCTGCCTTCCCGGGAGTGCAGAGGCCAAGATCAGAACTCAGAACTGAGTGGTCACAGAATCACGACTGCCAATCGCTCCATCACCCCGCCCATGCCAAACAGGAACACCCGAGCCGGCCGTTAACGTGCCCTACAGTCCTGGTGGGCGGCAGTGTCCTTGTCCTGAAGCCGGCCCCACTCTGGGCTTGAACCGTGGTGTGAACCGACTCATTCCCTTTTATGCTCCAGCCAGCCCGGGCTGGGTTCCCTCGCTTGCCAGCTGGAAGGGACCTCACAGACTCAGGCAAACAAGGAGTTTGAGAACCAGCCAACCAGATGATGTTGAAGCTGTGACATTCTGGGGCTTCTCTCAAGTTCTAAAAATGGATCATTCAAAAAAATCAACTCAGGTTCCCAAGGACCGTGGGCGGAGGCAGGGCAGACTGCTTTCCTGGTGCTGATGACTAATTAATTAAGTGGGGACGATTTTCGGGGGGTACAGGGGTTGATCGTGCCAAGGGAAGGGCAGACACACACACCCTCCAGCCCCACAGCCCCCACCCCCAGTGTCTATCACCTTGGATCAAGGGGGGTTCGGCTCGCCTCTCCCCACCCCCGCCACCAGCCTGCTGCTGCCCCCCCATACCTGTTTTCTTTGCCATTTGGCAACAGTGACGGGCGCTCAGCCCCCGGTCGCTCTGTGCACACGTAGGTGTTCCTGCGGGCCATCATGCTGGGAGGGAGGTTGTTCTGCGGGAGGCACGGCCAGGAAGGGGGTGAGAAGGTAAAGAGACGCCCCAGCCCCACCCCATCCTCTCTGCCCTCCCTCACGAGGGATGAGTCAGGGGCCTGTGGGGGAAATGACAGTGAGCAGGAGACGGTTGAAAGATCCCCAAGACATGAAACGTTCACAGGTGAACCCAGCCATCTAGGCTGAGTCCACCGGAGCAAGGAGGAGGGGGGGAAACTGAGGCAGGGCAGGTTCCCAGGGGCCATCCTTGTCTACCCCTCCTCCTCCAGCAATACCCCCTCTCGGGAGACACCAAACTCTGTTAACATACTTGTTCACACCACACTTCGTCTCCCCTCCTAGCCTTTGCGCTGGCGGCCTCACCTGTTAGAACATTCCTCCTCCCCGTTCCCAGACCTCTCCCACAGGTGCCAGTTCACACACGCCCCCACCCCCAGCCCACGCTGACTCAGGTGCCTCCTTTGGGCTCCCCGCTGCAGCCTGTGTTGTCAACATCTGCTGCTGCATGTGTCCCCAGCCCACATTGCACTGTGAGCTCTGGGAGTATCAGGACCACGCCGCCTCCCTTGCAGACAAGCTGGGAAGAGACCCCCCTTTCCCATTCTCTGCAAGTTTGTCTAAGATTGGTGTGACTTCTTCTTTAAATGTTTGGAAGAATTCCACTAGTGGGAGCCATCTGAGCCTAGAATTTTCTTTATGGAGAAGATTTTAAATTATGGATTCAATTTCTTTAATAACAATCTAAGACCGTTCGAGTTTTCTATTTCTTCTTGTGTCAGTTTTGATAATAAGTTGTGTTTTTTTAGAAAAGTGTCCATTTCATCGAAGTGGTCAAATTTATTGGCATAAAGTAGTTCCTAATATCGTCTATTTTTTTTTCTTTTTTTTTTAAAACAAGAGTCTCACTCTGTCACCCACCCGGGCTAGAGTGCAGTGCATCAGCCTAGCTCACAGCAGCCTCAAACTCCTGGGCTCAAGCGAGTCTCCTGCCTCAGCCTCCCAAGTAGTTGAGACTACAGGTACACACCACCATGCCAGCTGCCTCAACTCTTTTATTTCTATGTTGAGGATATTTGGCTCGTTTAACCTTCATGATACCATTCTAGGGAACTCAGACACAGGAACCCCAAAAACTACATTTCCCAGATCCCTTTGCAGTACAGGCTCTGGATAAAAACTGGGTTCTGCCAATCTTTGCACTCATGAAGATCTGGAAAGTGGAAATGGGATAGCAGCTACTTTCCTGTCCCCTCTGACTTCAGCCCACACAGGCGAGGTGACAGGACGAAGGTCTTTGCTTCAGCAGGCCCCAGTGGCCGCTGTGCAGCCTGCTGGGTGTCAAGAGGCTCTTCTGGTGGAGGACGGGGCTTTTGAGTCTTGGATGACAGCCATGACTGTGTGTTCCTGAATCCACCAGTGCTGGGGCAGCCCCCCTGGTGGCTCGGTTCTGCTGTGTGGCTGTGAGTGTTGTCCCTGTAGGTCCACAGCCCATTGTGTGTTCCTCCAATCCTTCCCAGGATTTGATTTTGTTCTCATTTTCTGTTTCTTCCCACCCTAACATTATGCCGTAAGAAGCATGTTTTGTTTTAATGCCACACTCCCCCTTTGTCCTCTCCTTCCCTGGCCCTGCCACTCCCACCCTTTTTCTAGATTACAGATCACCAAGTATCCACGTCCTGTTTCCCCACCAAGGCCCTTCTGGTGTCAGTCGGCCAGGGAGCCGTCCCCAGGGGCACCTTCTCCCGACTCCCCGTGGGGCTTCTCCCCCTGCTGCCCCCCAGCTCCGCACAGCCCTGGAGTCCTGGGCCCAGAACCTGGGTAAGTGGTCGGTCCTCGAAGGTGGCTACAGGGTCACTGCCAGACACCACCAGTCATGGCCGGCCACCGTCTGCTGCTGCAGGTTACCACCGGTCACACCGGTCATGGCTGGTCATAGCTGGTCAAAGCTGGTCATGGCCATTCACTGCCAGTTAAGGCCAGCCATGGCCGGTCAAAGCCAGCCAGAGCCTGTCAAAGCTGGTCACAGTCAGACAAAGCCAGTCACAGCTGGTCAAAGGTGGTCACTGCCAGTTAAAGCCAGTCATGGATAGACACTGCTGGTCACCGCCAATCATGACCAGTAATGGCTGGACACAGTTGGTCATGGCTGGTCACTACCAGTCAAGACCAGTCAAAGCTAGGCACCGCCAGTCACCGCCGCTGGTCTGGGCACCTCCTGATGGGTTGGGACCTCTGTAGAAACGCCCCCACCCAGCAAACAGCCACACACCCTTGCTTTGCCTTGCGTCTTTAGAACCAAAATAAACCCAAAGTGACCAGTGGCACCCAGGGCACTAGGAAGAAATTAAAAGGACGAATGTTGCCAACTACGTGCAAGAAGGATTACTATTTAAAAACTTAATTCTTATAACTTCTTTGTTAAAGAGCAAAACCTTATGCTAAAAATGAAACAACTAGGCCAGTTGCAGTGGCTCACGCCTGTAATCCTAGCACTTTGGGAGGCTGAGGCAGGAAGATCACCCAGGAGTTTGAGGTTGCTGTGAGCAGTGATGACGCCATTGCACTCTAGCCCGGGCAACAGAGCAAGACCCCATCCAAAAACCAAAAAAACCCTAGAAGCATCTTGTGTCCATGTGGACGGTGACCCACGTTTTTAAAAGCTTATGCCCACAACCAGTTCGGACCAGCATCTATGTGGGGCTTGGTCATGGCCAGGCCTTAACAGCAGGAACCAAACGTGACCCACCGGTCAAGGGCACGGCCGCGAGGGGCGGCTCCTGCGCATGCGCAGAGCAGAAGGGCCGGGATCGTGACGGACCCCGGCGAGCTAAGGGGCGGGGGAGGCAGCTTCTGCTTTCTAGATTTTCAAAGCACATAATTCCTCATATTAAATCCTTCCTGCCGAAAGCACGTACTGCACTTTTTTCTGTTTCTGACACCACCCGTTAATTTATGCACTAGCATTAAGCATTAGCTCAGGCAAGCAGCACTCAGCAAATGTTTGCTGAATGAATGAATGACCGGATACAAGAAGGAGTCCTGCGTGCTGGTCTGGCAACAGGAAGCAGAAGGTGACCGAGGTGGGGTGTGCAGCTGGCCCACAGGTGGTGACACCCCCGGCCCGGTCCCCCAGCCCTGGCCACTCACAGGGGTGCTAGTGCTGTCCTTCCGCCGCTCCGGGATCTCTGCCTTGTTGGGGTTGTGCGCGCTGCTGACCATGGGGCTGGAGGGGGGCAGCCCCCGGCTCCCGCTCCCCGCGGCGCTGCAGCTCGCCTTCCGGCCCGGCAGCCGCTCCTCCTTCAGCTCCGTCTCCCCCGTGCTCGTTGGGCTGCGCTTGGGGTGCAGGGGTGCTGGGGACGGGCCGCCTGGGGGAGGGGGCATCAGTTAGAGCTGGCATCACCGGGAAAACCCAGAATCGGCCCAGAAACTCCAAATAAATGACATAATGCAAACGCAGGTCATTCATTACAGCGTTTTTGTTTTTGTTTTAAAACCGGGAGCAGCCTAAATGCGCCTTAACAGGAAAAGGACTACGTAAGTCGAGCTATTTCCACTGCACGGAATACTAAGCAGGTATTAAAAAGAACGAGGAAGCGCTTTATGTACCGATATAGAATGATCTTCGAGAAAGACTATAACACAGAAAACGCAGGCAACGGATGGGTCTACAATGTGCCGTCATTCGGATAAAAAAGTGTTGTGTGTGAATACGTCCAAAAGACTGTCATTTGTATTCAAGGGGAGAATATATTTGTTTTTCTATATCCTTTTCTTCCTTCTTTCTCTCTCGATCCCTCCTTTTCTTCTTTCTTTTCTCTCTCTTCCCATATCTCTTTCTATATTTGAGCATGACTAAAATCTCTCCAGAAGAATTCATACAAAACCAGTCGCAAGCGCTGCCTTTAAGAAGAGAAACCGGGGGCTGGGGGCTGGGGTTGGACAAAGACTTTTTCGTCGTCTACCTTTCTCGCACTGACCAATTTTGGAGGATGTGACTGTATAAACAATTTCAAAAACAAAGCAACACCAATCTGGTCCCTTGGGACATCTTAGGAATCTGTTTTAGAACCAGGGGGTGAGAGCGCTCACAAGCTTCAGACGGTCAGAACGTCGACACGCTACACCCTCAGGGACCGTAATGCACAAAGTCCCAGACCACACACAAGCTGGGAGCTCTACAATGACGACGACAGATACCAGGTACCCGTTAGCAATCCTTCACCCCGACAATCCCTGCAACCCATGCGTCAACGTGGGCATTTTTGAAGGCTACCATGTTCTAACCATATGACATTGGAGTGGCAAGCTCCTTGGGGAGCTTCTAGACCAATCTTGTTACTTTATAGACAGGGGAAGGGGAGCGATTTGACCACCCAGCAATGGTGGAGCTTGGGCGGAACCGGCACCTCCTGCTCAGGCCTCCTCACCCTAGTGTCTGTCCCAGAGGGAAGAACTTCACCCCTGCTCACAAGTAGGGCTGTGAAAATAACAGAGTCGGGGAATACTAAACCACTAAACACAGAGTTACCAGATGACCCGGCAATCCCGCTCCTGCGTGGCGCCCACGAGAGATGAAGGCAACACGTCCACACAAAAGCACGTCCACGAAAGTTCCCAGCAGCAGCATTCACGACAGCCAGAAAGTGGAAACAACCCACGCGTTCATTAGCGGAGGGAGGGAGAAACAAAACGTGGTACGTCCGTGCGATGGAACATCATCCGGCAACAGAAAGGAGATGACGCACCGACGCACGTATCGGGGATGGGGCTTGAACACACTGTGCTAAATCAGACACCAGTCACAGAAGACCACGCGCTGTATCATTCCAGTTATCAGAAATGTCCAGAATAGGCAAATCCATAGATACAAAATTAGACTGACAGTTGCTAGAGGCTGGGGGTGTGATGGGGGTGGGCGTGGATAGAGGATTGTAAGTTGAGGGTTAAGGGTTGGGGAATTTCATTTTGGGGCAATGAAAATGTTTTAAAATTGGTTGTGGTGATGGATGCACAACTCTGCAAATATTATTATTATAAAATATTAATACATTCTATTATAATATATTAATGCTACTAAATTGTAGCATTTAAATGGGTAAGTTGTATGCTATATGAATTTTATCTTAGTAAGACAGTCAAAGGATTAACAGTAAATGAGGCTGTGGGTAAGAGACCCCTCAGAAGTTTCCACGCCTAAGTGGTGGCGGTGGTGGTGTCTATTCATTTTCTGCAGCAGATGAGATGTCTGTCAGTTGCAGAATGTGGGGTCCAATCAGGTGTCTGCCCAGCCTCCTTCCACTAGGAAGGAACTCCCTCAATTCAGTGTGGAGGAGAGGCCAGAGGGCAGGCTCTCAGCAGCCACTTTGTACAATGTGTCCTCCTGTGCTCCAGTCATAGTGGATTAATCCCAACTGGACTCTGGTATCAGAGCTCCATTCCTGACGAGTGGACGAAAGGGATTCCAGCTACTATTTGGGCTGGTCTCTAAAACTGAGATGTAAGAAATTTGGGAGCTGAGAGATCAGGAAAAGATAAGGTAAGATCAGAGACAAAGGGAAAACCAGACAAGCCAAGAGGAAGAAAGACACAGAGAGTGTCTGCTCTGGGTCTGGCTGCTTTTCCAGTATTAATCCCTTCCTGAGCCTGGCTGCCCCTGCATCTTTCTCAGCTATTCCTCCCGGGGCTGCAGTGAGCTCCAGCGGGTTTCGACTGCTTGCCAATCAGAGAACCGTGACACAGTGCGAGTCTGAGTCTTGGGCTGGGAGAGGCACTTGGGGGTGGGGCTGATACTCACAGAAGTCGCTATGCCTGCGCTGGCGGTGGTAGGTGGAGGAGGAACTCCGCTGCCCTTTGCTGTGGCTGGTGCCTTTGCTGGAGCTCGTTCCATTGGTGGTGTCGCTGGGCGCCCGCACCCGTGCCAGGGCCAGCCCTGGGGCACCCCGGTCCCCACCCTCCTGTGAGAGGAAGACAGACAAGGTGCCTCAGCCCCTGTCCCATCTGCACCCCAAGTCCCTCTGCCCCGGGCATTGCACATTCCCGAGAGCCCCTGGCCCCCTCTGACCTCAGTTTTCCTGCCCAGCAGGAGGTAGGTGGCGGTCACTTCGTTGTACTTCTGGCTGGTCAAGGCCTCTTTGATTTCTTCCCGTGTGTAGCCCATACCCACCATCACCTCTGGGAAAGGGGGTGGAGAAAAGGTTCAGTCTCCCCAGACTTGATCCTTCCGCCCCTTTCTGTGTCACTCAGTGATGTCTGCTCTTTGACCTTGCCCATGTCCATTCTCTCTTCTGCCAGCATCACTCTGGTTTTCCTTGAAAGAACATTCTTTCCTCTCTCCAATCATCTGGCTGACTCCTGACTGCTCCAAACCCCACCACAGCATATAAACCCAGGTCTGGCCAGAGTGTTCTATCCCCAAAGCCACACTGATTGGTTCAGGCTTGTGGCCCAGGTCTGGCCAATCAGAGTGTTCCATTCCTAAAGCTACACTGATTGGTTCAGGGCAGGCATGTGGCCCAAGTCTGGCCAATTAGAGTGTTCCATCCCCAAGGCCACACTGATTGGTTCAGGGTAGCCTATGGGCACCAGCCAGGGATTTTTATTGGAACATTAGGAAAGTAGCTTCTCTTCCTGATAGGGTATCCAGGCTACTAGGGTATGCTGTTACCAGCTTGTCTCTGTGTCATGAGAACCGCGTGGGAAAGAAGCTACCAAGGTGAAGATTCTCGGACTGTCTCTGAGCACCTGGATCCAACTGTGCCTGAAGGCTGCATACCCTGGCCTTTTCAGTTATGTGAATGAATAAATTACCACTATTAGGTTAGATCACACAAAATTGCCAGTATTGACATTTTTTAACCCATAGAATGGCAATTTCATATGGTTCAAACTTTTTTTTTTGGTTCAACCTGTTGTTGTTATTATCTGGTTTAAGCCAGATTGACCTGGGTTTTCTGTTACTTGCAACCGTGAAAGTCCTGATTAATGCAGCCAGGCTCTGATGGTGGCCTCAGTTTCCCTGGCTGTAGGATGGAAGGTTCTAGATGGCTTCTAAGGGGCTCTTCCAGAGCTAATGCTTTAGGGTTCAAGAGTTCTAAGATTCCAGGCTACAGGGATCAGGACAAAAGGGTGGCAGCCAAGATACGTGCCAACGTGGGGGTTTTCCCCAAACACGTAGATCACTAATGACTTGTGCTCAAACCTTTCTAGAAGTGATCTGTGATTTCTGTCTTAATACTCAAAGCTAACACGCATGTGTACTTATCACACGCCAGGACTAATATAAGTGCTATATGCAGATTGCCTCATTTAATATTCATAACCCTGTGAGGTAGGCACTATGATTATTTCCATTTGCAGATGAGGAAACAGAAGCACAGAGAGGGGAAGCCACCTGCCCAGGGTCACACAGCTAGAAAGTGGCAGTACAGGGACTAGAGCCCAGACCCCTCGCTGCTCTCCCTAAGAGCCTTGCACATTCCTCTGATGCACTGAGCAAAGCGACAGGTGCTTTCAGGCCCCCGTCCTGGCTCCGTGGCTCTGGGCACCCGCTCTCCCTGACCCTCACCGATTCGCTTGGTGTCCCCGAAGTCCTCCTCGGGCTCTGTGTATGGCTTCAACTCCTCACCCTCGTAGCCGATGTTGATCCACTTGTCTTTCATGATTTGCTGTAGGGAACAGGAGCAGGGCAGACCGGTGTCAGAAGAAACCAGGAGTAATTCAGCTCCCCACCTCCTAGGCGGGCCCCTAAGTGGGGCTATCTGACCTGCCCCACACCCCCAACGCTTAACACCCAGGATCGCCGGCTCCCCGAGAGCTAGTACCCGCTCACCCTCCCCCAACCCCATCCTCTGCCACAGCCTCCTGACACCACCCACCCTCCTCTGCATCATCTGGGCCCCTGGCACCCTGTAATCATCCTAGGAGCTCATTAGCTAATTACCAACAAGGCGGGGAGTGGGCGAGGCTGCTGGGGGGTGGCATCAGGACGGGCCTGGGAGCCTTTGCCTGGTCTGCCTGTCTACCCCCAGCCGCCAGCAGCGACTCTTAGGCAGGTGGGCATGGGACGGGAAAAGTGTGGCGAGAAAGTCGTTGGGGGCAGGCAGAGTGCGGGGAAGTCAGGAGACGGGAGGGGGCCCGGTGGCTGCGGGGCTCACCTCGAGAGTACAGCGTTTAGCTGGGTTCAGCACCAAAAATCTCCGCAGGATGCTCTCACAGTCTGTTGACATGTAGAAAGGGACCCGGTACTTCCCTCTGAGGACACGCTCTCGCAGCTCCTGGGGGGATGGGGTTACTGGGGGAGGAGTCCGCCCCAACTCCCCACCTGTCACACACACTCTCGTCTTTGTCCCAACCCCTCTAATGGAAGTGACAGAAGCTCTGAGTCCCAGCTCTGACGAGGTGGGCAAAACCCCATTCCTCTCTCCTGGCCTCGGTTTCCCATCTGTAAAATGGGAACATTGTCCACACGCGGCAATTAAACACTTTTTTCAAAAGCTAAATAACTTTTCATTCAGGGGAAATCTTCCCAAGAAAGTGAATTCTCCAAGCCAGATAAGAGAGAGACGAGCGAGTGAGTCAGCCTCTGGGGCCCGTCTCCTCACCTGCCCCCGCTCGCAGGCCTGTCACCAGGGTGTAAGTGCGTCAACACCCGCGAAATGCTTAGCACACGCCTGGCCCGGAGCGAGCGCCGTGTAAACATCAGGTTCACTAAACAGGAGGGGAGATGCTGCCTCCCACCCCTGCCTTCCTCCCTCTGGACCCCTCTCCCCACCCCCAGCCACGCCTGCTTTCCAAAGAGCTGCGATTCCCCAGGGACGTTGGTGGACGCACATCCCGGCTTAACGTTTAAGGGTCTTTCACGAGGGGCCCTCCCAAGGCTGTGAAAAATAAGATACATTCGAGGCTCCATGGCCTGGAGGACCAGGGGAAATCGCTTCCACATGAATAAAGAACTGAGGGAGGCAGAAAACTGAAGGCGGGGATGGCGGGGAGTGAACCAGAGTCCCTTGGGGTGGAGCCCCCTGCCAGGGACTGGGTTGGAGCTGGAAGATGCTCGTGCCTGGGAGGCTTCCTGGGTCTGCAGGTCATTACAGCCCCAAGGGCTGTGGGTATCTCATGTGGATCCCTTTCCGAGCACTCACTACCCCACCATACCAGGCAGTGTTTTCTAAGCTCTTTATGCAAACTAAGTCCATTTTTGCAACACTATGAAAGTGTGGTTATGATGTCCATTTTCCAGATGAGGAAACTGAGGCTCAGAGAGGGGTTTGGTCACTTGCCCCGGGCCTGGGTTCCGACACAGGCAGCGGGGCTCTGGAACCTGTGCTTGTAAACGCTGTACCACACTGCCTCGGTCACGTGATGGTGAGACGGTATCAGGCCACCGCTACCACCACCAGAGCGGCCCCCAAGTGTGACGCTGTGTCCAGACACCAACCCCTTTGGGAGAAGGGCTTTGTATGTGCAGACTGGTTGCAAGTATTCTTTTTTTTTTTTTTTTTTTTTTTTTGAGACAGTCTCACTGTGTTGCCCGGGCTAGAGAGCCGTGGTGTCATCCTAGCTCACAGCAACCTCAAACTCCTGGGCTCAAGCGATCCTCCTGCCTCAGTCTCCCGAGTAGCTGGGACTATAGGCATGCGCCACCATGCCCCGCTAATTTTTTCTATGTATTTTTAATTGTCCAATTAATTTCTTTTTAATTTTAGTAGAGACAGGGTCTCGCTCTTGCTCAGGCTGGTTTCGAACTCCTGAGCTCAAACAATCCGCCCGCCTCGGCCTCCCAGAGAGCTAGGATTACAGGTGTGAGCCACCGCGCCCGGCCCAAGAAGATATGCTTAACGTCCTCATCTTACAGGTGGGGAAACTGAGGTTCAGAAATGGACTTGTCTGAGGTCATTCAGAAAGGAAATGACAGCTGGAACCCATCCCTGGCTATGTGCCTCCTTTGCCCAGTAAGGCCCGGGGTACCTGGTGGAGAAATCAGGACAGGCAGGAAGTGACAGAGGCCTGGGGCAGGTGATTCATTGGTCTTCCCCTTTGAAAAGGTCTCTTAGCGTCACGCTTGCAGCTCAGAGAAATTATACGTGACTATGGACCGTGCGGCCGAGGCCTGGACTGTACCAAGGCTGCGTTTCCTGTGTGTGATCATCGACAGGAAAACGCCCCTGGTCTCAGCAGATAAGCCGCTGTAGCCTTTAGGCATAAAGGGACACAGTGTCTGCAACTAACTGTCGAATGGCCCATCGATAATGATGATGACAGCGACATCATGTGCAGATACAGCACATGTGGCCGAATGCCAGCGATTGCAAACCTCCCGAAAGGTACCATGTGTTCTTTGTTCTATTCTTGCAACTTTTCTGTAGACTGGCAACGTTTCAAACTAAAAAGTTCAAAGGGAAAAAA